ACGAATTATTGTGCATTGTCGCATGGCGACGGGCTGAGCTTTCAAAGCCCTGTGAACAAGTCCATGTAGTTGCGAACTTCCAACGACTTAAACCTAGATATTTCCAAACTGGATTTTGCCGAATCCGCGGTGACTCAGATGATCAATATTACACTTGCAGGTCGAAGACTTTGCTAATACTTCTGCATCTCTGATGATTCTGCAGAATCTTTGTAAATCTTGAGCATATGGCTTACAAAATCATAATAAGCAGCAGTAAAATTACGCCTCAAAGGTGCTGCGTTTTCAGGAGTTCCTGGATAAGGTTGGCAAAACCATGTGTAAGTTTCCTGGGAAGTCTGATGTCAAATTACGTCCCGAATCATCTGCAGGGGGGACTTACCATTAATTTATTAGCAATATTTCGGCACTGCTCTTGTTTAATACCGTCTGTAGCAGGAAAATAAAAATCAATGTAATGGTAGAAAGCTTCGCGTGTAGGAATCAGGGAAAGACAATCAATTTCAGGAAACATCAGGGTAACTGCCTGAATGGGGCAAGTCATCCGGTTGCAGAAGCGACATTAGAGTTTCTGGTCAGTTATGACCGAAGTGTCAACATTCCCGAATTTTCAGCTCAATTGCCATACTATGAAAACACTTTCTTTTACGTGGTGTGTTCTCTTTAGAGCATCGTCAAGGCGTTAGATAGTTAATAGCAATATTCTTGATTCTGACAAAAATTCACTGAACCCCTTTGTTTAATCCAGATCTCTTCATTAAAAAATAAACTCACGCTCTGGTTCTCCTCGGTTTCGCTATGCATGTGTGCTGTAAAATTAACAGCAAGCCTTTTAATGAAATTTATTAAACCTTTTTTCTATAACTTATCACAAACTTGGCACTAAGTTCCATGAGGTGATCCTCCCAAACTAAAGGGACATTTCGGGAGAGGGTGTGAGGGTAATTTGGGAACTCGTTCATCTTTATCACGTTTCCTTTGGACGATTGTTCAAAAATCCGGTGCATAGAATTATGCGGAAAAATAAGTTTGCCTAGCGTAGCTGTGTGCCCCGACGTGATTCCTCCTCAGTTGAAAGCAGTCGATAATTCCTCCCCCTGGAATTTTAGATGTCACACTGGACAGTCGCAGAATTTGTCAGCATGTTTTGACAAATGACTTGAATATCTGAAAATACTGTCACTAATAAAAAACAAACACGTGTAAGTTTAAGAAATGATTATTTGCCGGCTGGCAAAACAGTAATCAAGGTCGCTAGAGGCATATATTTTCCGACCATTAACACAGTTAACACATGCAATCCACCGAATGCCCTACCTGATATACCTGGAAAAATGAGCCGTTGTTAGGAAACCACCAAAGATCGGAAATTGTCGCAACATTCTAGGAAGCTACATGATCGATAAACTAAGCTAAATTATTCATTTTTTAAGCATATTTTAATTGAAAATAAGCATGGCAGTCGGCAGTAAATAGATCGTGGAGAAAATGCAGGTAAATGCTACCCGACCATGCACAGCCTGAGATTTGTTGTCCTACGTTTTTTTCAACTACTAGTGGACACGTGGGCTTGTGTTATCCGATATGATCCATGTTGTCAAACTCATGGTTATACTTCCTCATGTCAGTGAACTTCATGCATTTATCAGGAGTGTTTTTTGTTTAAATGGCCTAAAGAATAGATGAAGACGTTATGACATTCATGAAACCATCATCTGGATTCGGACAAATTTGATAACAATGCTGATGGCAGATCTTCGAATACAGTCCAGTCATTGGCACTTCAAGTAGCGAATTCAGCAAGCGGTTGAAACCAGCATATTTGCACAATCACAGTTTAAGCCAATCATTCATGCTTGTGGGCAACCAAGGAATGGTTTTCGAGTCGCGTTTTGTTTCCGTACAACGGGAAATCGCCAATTTGCACGCTCCCGATGCGACTGCTTCAGCTCGGACTACTCAGTCAGCTTGTAGCCAAAGAATCTCACAAATTGTTCCTGCTTATTTACACGCGGCGCACATGGATTTATTGAAACGACGCAGCCTTCACGAAAAACGTTTCTAACAGGGCAACAAGTCCTCTTCATTTGGACTATAACCCGTGGATACAGGCCCCAACACACGCTTAGGCACCTCTGACAAAGAGCCAATGCCCAGTAGGTTTAATTATGGACTAGCCGTTCAGCAGTTAGAAATTCAGACGAATAAAAGAATGAAGTCACGAGTATGGTGCAAGTGGTATACGAGTGTATATTGGAGCTTACTCTGTTCACCAAATGCTTCCATAAATTTGGCTGCAGACAGCAAATATGTGGATTAAACTGATTGCTTTGATGCGATCAAACCGGTTGTTAGCTTCTGATATACCGACCATAACACAACGGAATGATTGTTGTAAGCTGGCACTTAGTCCCTTCCCTGTTGCTTGTTAATCACGTGGCTGTTGATCTGCTCGCCGAGCCAGACATTAGACTTGCAAACGTTTCGTTTCCATACGAAGGGACATCCAGATTGCACATTAGACTTGCAAACGTTTCGTTTCTATATGAAGGGACATCCAGTGTGCGCAGTTGGGTGGGTGCTTCCTGTTTGCCTGCGTGGGTTTATCAGGTATTCGAAGGCTGTCGGTTATCTCCTGACGTGATTTGGTTGTTGAGTGACAGCTTCTTTAATGAACTTCCTGGTCGGTTAGCCATTTTATTTGCATTGTGGCTTGCGTTTCTTCATCCCGAATACTTCTGATTTAATAGTCTTCTCCGTTTCGATTTCCCTTTTTCTCGATTCGCATTGACGAAACATTTGTGGGCCAGTTGCCAAGTTCGGCGGGCTACTAACATTTCGACGCATTCAGTTTCCTTGTCCACATTTATTATTTTCCTCACAATAGGGCTTTCAAATAAATCATGGTTGCACGGCTGCGAAGCATTGGTGTTGAACACTTATGTCATGATGTCAATGAAAGTGATGATGATGGTGACGCGGTGGTAATATGAGTTTGCGCGTTTGGAATCACAGAACACAGGCATTATTATACGCACAGTCAGGCTGTCTAAGAAAGAACAAATAAAGCTGGTGAGGTCTCATGCCATTTTAAAAAAAATCAGCTATTACTGTGATACCAAACGTAGTAACTAACCTGTTGAACGGGCCTGGTCAAGCCTGATTTACAGAAGGTGATAACTTATGTGAAGAAATCTGTTACTTCTCCTGGCAGTCAGACTTTGTGCCTTGAAAGAGCTGCTTACGAACTGAGTGCATTTATTTTGATATTTTTTGCTGTAGTGACTTAGCCCGGTTGTGTGTGTCTGAGCTGAGTCTGCATTTTCGTGGTTTCGCCCACTGGCGATAGCCACAGAAACGTGGCCTCATGAGAGTGGCATTGACAATCATATCTGACGCAAGATACGATACCGTCGCACCACGCGGCTCAACAGAAAGCTTTTATGAATTTATTCATGATGTTAAACAGATTTAATCGATCCACACTAGCTTCATCCAAAAAGTCTCGTACGTGTCCTGTTTTCGATGGAACAATCCTTCTCTAATAGTACACTTCAGAAGAATTCACCCACACGTTTTCCTTTGAGCTTCAGTCTCGCCAGATGATCTATGGATATTGAAGCATCATAATTGCATCTGAACTGATTTTTTAAAGTACTTTTGTGGCCGACGTAAATGGGAGAACAAAAAGTCATGTTGACGAACGCCTGTATTTCGGTGGCAGCAATGTGTTTAGTCTGAAAGTACTGAAACGGGAATTCGCGGTGGCAATAGTTTTCATAGGTTTGTCAACAAATTTGCACTCCATTTCGTTTAGTCACCTACCGACTACTTAGTTCTACGGTCAGCTGTACATGTTCTCTATGAAGCATTCCGCAGTTTGTCCAGCTGAGTCTTCTAGCCTAAGGAAGACAAATCTTACGATTTGTCACATGGCTAATTAACATCGGTTTTGCTTCCAAAATGTACCCAAACTCGCGTTCACTCGGGCGGTGCAAACAACTTGGGATTGCTGAATACATGGCAACGGTTGGATGTTTTTCGCCGCAAAATACAAGTTCATTATCGACTCACCTTTCAGTTTGCAGAACAAGGCACCGCCCAAACCTACAAAATGTAACACACGCAAGACAATCTTAACAAACTAGTTCAATCAGGTTCACATAACAAGTGATGAACGCTTCAGCATGAATAAGGAACATCGCGCTGAAGTGTATGTTACTTGCATCAGCAACGAACTGCAACAATTTCGCTCAAATTAATGTCACGATAAACATATAGAAGCGCGTCGTTAATAACAAAAGGAGTGCAAGTCAACACCAGTCTTTGAAAACTATTTTACTGAGGTTTGACAACCTGTCGGCAAATATTCTCCCTCCCTATCCCTCTGTACACAAACTCAATTTTGACAAAATTTCTCCAATATTTTAACATCTGAAAGACAAGCGACCCGGTGTGAGACATTCAGTTGGAGTGGATCACCGTAAACGAGAAATTCAGCTGAATTCAGCTTAATCCTGTCTCAGATTTAAATTCCTTTGCAAAATAGAGTGGTTGTCAAACTCTGTAAAAATTAGTTCAATTAGGATATCGATTTGATGGAAAATCGGAATCTGCTTGTTGAGCTCGTAGAAGGTCAAAGCCATTCTTGGGCTTTCGAAGATTTTTCAGCAAACACGAGAAGAAACCAAATTGGTTTGCAAATAGGTGTATTTCGCTAGGCTTACGCGTAATTGTTACGTTTTGACATTCCGGCCGCCGTATGAGTAGCTCAGAAACCAAAAACTGTTCAAAATGAAGTTAACAATCTTCACGTTCTACAGTTTATCTCATTCTTCTCTCACATGACCAACGTTAGTACCCAAATCGCTCACCTTTGTTTGGCAATTGGCAAATCACTGATTTGGTCTACATCCTGATCACTGTGAGAAGCTTCTACCAAACAATTAAAAGTTTACAACGGTTACCTGTGGAGATTTTGTGCTTATATTTTCATGCAGGCCAAAGCTCACGTGTGCGGCCGCTACAAAGAGACTGGGCCCAATCGCGAACCGGTGGTTTGTGTGATTAGAGATCTGGCGAACATAGACTCCTAGTCTGTCAGGTTGGATCAATCACAGTGACTTGTCTCCTAAAGGCACTTGTATGTGCCTAGTAGAGCCAGATAGGGGAGTACCTTGGTATTAGACAAATCTCGTATACAAACATGCAAGTCAGAACCAAAACTAGTATCATGCCACATTCGGTGTAATCAGCCTGATCGCCTTACTTGCCTCATACAGAAAGACGGCTAAAAGAACCCATGCTCCAGCTGATTGCTTTCTTGGACACTTTCCGTTTTCCCTCCGCAAATCTAACTCACCCCGATTCATTTATTCTGTCTACAGGACCCATGTTAGGACTGCCGTCTTTGTTTGCTATGCATTATGCCCGGCTGCAGCTCGGCTTGTCTAAATTCACAACGGAATTTAAGCACCTGGAAGATTGTTTCCTACTTACATCGTTTTGATATTCGCACGCGAAAACCAGCTCTTGCACCCACAATGGAGTCCCTATCTATGGATGCGTGCTCCCTATTTGAAAAAGATAAACTTCGATAGATTCGCAACTAAAATCGCTGTTCTCTAGCTCCCTTTTCGCTTTCAACCACGCAAATTGGCTGACTTAGAGGCCACTACAATTGGATATACCGGCAAATCTAACGTGTTGAGGTGTCGGCAGGGGCCTCTTCACTCAACTGCATACTCGCTGATAGTCAACCCCACGAGGATCGTTTAGCAAGTCCAGAGTAAGAACATTGAGAACGCGAGGCGGTTCACTAGCTGTTTATTTTACCTGTCTCCGACGAACTACAACTTCGAGGCGGTCGACGGCAGTTATTATGAAGCTCCGGGCGCTCTTCGAAAATGGCCTATAAGCCCAGATTTCATTGTGTTTGCCGCTCAATCGACATCGTTAGCGGTGCTGAGATCCAGTTAGGCGGCTATTTGAGAGCAACAAAGTTCAACCGCTTCGGATTCATGCCGATGACAGACTGTTTGTTTGTAGTGTCCATTTCCGGAAGTGTGCCTTGATTTCTTGAGGCCCTCAAACGAACCAGCTGCGTAACCACATCCTCCTCACTTATGGCCGGCGAGGCTCGATTGCTGCTAGTCGCTCGCTCTGAAAAATCCGCGTGAAATGCGATCATAAACTTTTCCGTTGATAATTTTCTCTGCGCTTTTCAAGCTTAAACAAAAGGCGCACACATCGGTTCGCTACTGAAAAGCTCATAGACTTAGCAGTCTCGGACTTCACTGACTCACAACCACCGAATGGTCCTATGTCACATTCTCTGTTGCACATTTGAAGAACTCGCATCAGTCTGATGGGACCGTGGCTTACGTGGAGACCTTGCAACATGTTGGTCCTGGCCGTCGCCACAGTACAACCCGATGCATGATCCGACGTCAGACGGAACAGAGGATTCGCGCGTACTAATAAGGCTGAAGGATTCTAAAACGGTGGGTGTAAAAACTCCAGGAAAAGTCTGTAGACTGTTTAACTGGATTCGCCGGACTGCTCATCAGAATCCTCGTGTCACTGACACTAGCAGGGGAAAGAATGGCTCTCTGATTTCACAAAAAATATCGTTTAGACCATGGGGCACTGTAGGTCAGAAACGATGCTGCTGACTACATGCTAAGCTTACTTCAACATGGAAGTGAATTGTGCGTGTGAAGCTACAGCAATGTCGGTGTTGTATGAGTTTATATCTGCTCAGACTTCTTTAAGCTCCTCATCCAAGGGACCCTTACTCTCAGGAGGCGGGCGCTTAGTTGTCTTAAAAATGTGGATATCCAATCCGTTGCCAGTGGGTTCACAGACAACATCCTCATCGCCTTCAGGGATGAAGAGAGAAAATATGCTTTGCCGAATAAATTGAACCCTAATTTATACAATGTTTCGACGTGCGATTTGGAATTACGGAGTGCATCTTTCTGATTGAGAGCGTGCAGCTCCTAGAAATGCTCCTTGGAATTTTGCCCACCTCGGTAGATGTACTTCCTCTGACGGAAGTGTTCGAGGTGATCAGTGCACAAATGTTGGTGTTCAGAGGCTTGTTTACAGACTCGACTCGCTTGGACCTTAGGTATATGATTGAGATGCATGGCTTGTTTGGACGGAAGTTGTGTCAGCTCCTTCCTTCACCAATTTCTGAAAAATACTGCCGGTACCGGGTGTCGTCGACGAACTCGGGTAATCGAGAAACGTTGGTTCGGTTGTGCAGCAGGTAATTCAATCACGGAAAGCGTCCACTGCGATGAACTCCGGCGACGCGTCCTTTGGCTACGCATGTCAACACACCGTCTACTGAGACGAGAGCTTTCCGTCGCTCCTTCCAGCAGCGAAGACTGTGGGATGGCCAACATGTGATATGACGGAAGTGGGTGAAAAAAGATCAAAAAGAGTGTGAATTATGATGGTGCGCCACACTTTCCAGTACACGGAGCTCCCACGACCGCTTTCATGCGCCTGGCTGTAGGAAGAATAAGAAACCTTGCCTAGTCAATGTGGATGCCGTTTGCGCTGTCATTTTCCTTCCACCTGGAGAGGTTTAAGCACTTTAGTTTTTTAAAAGATCCCGCCCTCCTTCATTAAGTTTTTCTCTTCCCTTCACTTTAGCGACAATTAAATAACCATTATGGTTACACGCCGGTGAAGCATCGGTGTCAACACTGATTTTGCTGTCTCTGGTGATGATGATGATCGTTGTCGTGATATGTAAGGAGAGAACATTCAGCTAATGCCACCCGACTTTTAAGCCACATAAACTGGTTAAAAAAGCCATCTAGCATTTTCCCATTTTGGTTGGTTAAACGCTCCGTTGGCAGTATAGCGGTAGGCACAAACGTGTGCTGCTTGTTGAAGTACAACACTTCATGGCTTGATCATTGGCGAGGTGAGGTTAAAAGCGTTTCATACTCACTGGAATGACACCATTTTCTGCTACAGTAGAGTTCTTCTAAAAGGTTAATTAATGATCTGTCTGTAGGATTACGCGGCAACTTTTTTACCCTAATCGGACTGGCATGGTACAGCGAAAGTAATTGTGTCTGGATGTTTCACCTGCTGCAAAGGTGCATTTATTCCCAAGTTTTAAGAGAATTCATATTTTCAAACCAAAGCGTGATATTAGGAAGGTCACAGGTGTGTGGCTTACTTTGGTAGTAATTCACGAGTTTCTTAATGGTGAAGCCTGAAAATGATTATACAGGTAAATGCATTGAAATTGTCCGACGGAAACTGTGGGTTGCAAAAGTATCAGTTCGTTTTACTCTTTGAAGCGTGTATGCCAATATAGGTCGTACTCAGGCCCCAGAAGGAGAATGCAGTTCACCCCAGCCAGCCAAACTTGACTTCTACCTAAGGACACAGGCAACTCAGCACTGACGGTGAACAAATGCTGCCTCTGCGCCTACGCCTATTTGTTTCTGGATACTCACAACAAAGTATTACTTAGCGAATCCGTGTTAATGGTTGATTACACTATGTTTCATTGATGGTTGCCAAAAATGTGGTACAAACTGTTAGTTGGCTTTCCCATATACCGAGTCCTTTGGGGTCTAGCGATTACTTGGTTTAGCATCACTGCCTAAGCAAAGTGCAATTGTTTTCTATCATACTAGCTTTTCATCGGTGATCCTTTTATGCAAGGTTTCGGCGAACGCCTTGTTTCGTAATCACACGCACATGCAAATTTTTATTCATTTTATAGCGGTCATTGTTCTCCATGCATCCAACCTACCATTCGTGTTATTTCCCGTTAACGAGACCAACGTTAAACGGGCTATCAATGAAGGGCATGGTTTTAGAAGCGAGCAGTAATAGTACAAGTGATATGTTCAAGTGCAAACAAGGAAGTCGCTGATATCAGGTGATCCACGAATAGTCGACCATTTTCAGTTTTCGGAACCATCAACTACACGGGATTTTACAGTTCCGTGATCTCAATTGCAGCAATACTTTCATGGGCTGTGCTCAATTCCGACAGATATTGCATCGTCCGTGCGCAGGTAATCGGACGTCCGATGCCTTTTGAAGTCTCCCGCAACAGACATCACACTTTGGTGAAACCTGTGTGTGTGAGGGCAGAAACGGGTGCTTGCATACTGGTTGTATAATCCGCGTGGTGAACAGATGTATAGGTCAAACACAAATACTCAAAACCAGAGACGCACAACCAGTCGCTCTAGATAACCGATCACCATTTTTAGTTTGCACAGTACTTTAACAAGGTCTTTCTCTGTTACGTGTTAAAAAGTGTCCTCTTCAACTCGTTGAAAATTAAACCACATCAACTCCAACTGGCGCAATCGAGTATTATAAGAAATGTTGGAAAGCCCGGCTAGTTTTGGGTGTCAATTAACTTGAATATCTAGACAAATAGCATTATAACGCTCCTTCATCCTGAGAGAATTATGGCAATCAATGAGTGGCCCATATTCATTACTTATAGGTTTGACCCATTCAAATGTCACTAGGTTAAGCATCCATCCTTGGCAATTCAGTTTGTGCGAAATCCTTCCAGAATACACCACGCGTGTCTCAGGGGATCTCAATTGGCCTCTATTGAAACCAACTTTTAGCATTTCACACTATTGCAATCTGTTAAACATGTCTTCGGGAAACCGAAATATCCTAACGATCCTAGTGAGATATTCGTTGTGCGTGAAGGTAACCTCCAAGATTTGGCTGGAAAAAAATAACTCCTAATTAAAATATCACGTTTGGTAGAATCTGAACATTTGGCAATCAATGCTGATGTTTCGCTGACCATTTCGCTATTCTCCATATATGAAACTGGTAAAACCTCCCAACTGATCGTTTACGATGCTTCATTGTCTTTACTCAGTTATACAAAACACAATGCTACGTAATGCAATAAAATAATATGTGCTCTGTAACGGCCACAATGGAACGCAGATTGCACCCTGGGCACACCATGCTTTATATTTAATCGTGCCCCAGCCGTTGTGCCCATCCTACGGAATGAACGAAGAAGCTATCTGATACAGGCATCCAATCAAGCCTGTCCACTTGGGCACCGGCTCCCATGAGTTTTCATGCGGTCGAAACGGCTAAAATCGAAGTAACATTGTACTGTTTTGTGATGAAATGTAAGTGGTGATAAAATCACATACCTAGGACAGTTTCAACAGTGAGGTCAGTGTTTTGTAGTTCTTCTTAAAAAGAACCACAAATAGACATTGATGTGTCATGGGCATAGCATACACGAATTTTTTGAGAATATTCTAGGAAAACTCCCGGGCGTGGCAAACGGTGTGATAACTGGGTTGAATCGGGTAAGCTGTAAGCTGTAGACAAGGAGCAATGATTTTATCGTTGGGACAATCAGTCGACTGACAACTACGTGAGCAGGAAATCAATGCCGAACTGGCTTACTGATAACTGCCGATGTGAGCAAGGTGGACGCTGTAAAATATGCAAAAATAAGTACGTCGATCAGGTGAGCGTCACGAAGAACAAAACTTGTCGTTGAATGTTTGAGCTTTCTCGGCAATTCCAGCAGTAGCACAACAAAAAGATACCTGCCGCCATTCCATGAATCATCTTATCCACACGGATCGGTTCAATATGCTAATGTGCTTAAACAAAACCAGATATCATTTTTTCTACATTTTGCACTCAACACATGCAACACAAGGGAATGGCAAAAAGGAAGATATATGCCGAGAAATATAAATTATGTAGATGAAAATAACTCACCAATGCTTTATGAGGTTTCTGGACTGAACACCTCCATGTTTGTACACTCGCAAAGAGATTTTTTTGGAATTTAGTAAAATTGGTGTGAAAATCCCATTTTCTGGTTTCCTTAAGACTCATCTCAGTGGGCTATAACGTTATCCATCAGATGATTTTAGAAAGAAGGATCCGGCCATCAGCTTTAAAAACTGTGCCACCCTAGTTGTCTGTGTTTTTTGTTGTCCATTAAAGATATTAGCACGTCGACGTGTGATAGGCCGAAAAATTAGGACTTTTGGTTTTAGTGACAACCTAAAGCAGACCAAACGGGCATACCAAACTTCCTTCGGGTTGCTTTATTCAAGTATACCCGAGCGCACTCACCCAAATACATGACATTTGGCGGCACTTACGCAAGTTATCAAGACTGCCAAACTCGGTGGGAGTTAAGCCTCAGAACTGATTTTCGGAAAAAGATTATTTTAATGACTGGAATGGCATCTGTGCTTATAAGGACTTTCGCAAATGTTGAATTTTGGTTCTGTTCGGAGAAGCAGACATCAAATTCGAAAGGCTATCTGATATCGTGTTATAGATGTCATGTGTAATCTGAGCTATTTAGTGATGGAAAAAATGGAGCAAAAACGGAGAATCACAGGTGAACATCTTCTCGAAAATACCATAAACAAGGGAAACAGTTAGCGACGTACGTATTTCAGACCTGTAGCTTCCTACTCCGTTTTTCACAAACTCGTTCTGGCAAGTGTTTGAAGGATCTGAGTACAACGGTTACAAGTCGCAAATCCTTGGTGCCAGTTAATTCGACCTTGAAAAGATTTCATCTGACTATGGCTTCGAATTTCAATTGAATGGTGCGTCTTCCATATTTCGAATCGTTTGGTCTCCTGGGCATCCACGGAAGGCGAGAGTACATCACTGAACTTGATATGTTCCATGAGGAACGTAATTGCATCGTCTCAGATGAACATTACCATCGCTGATACCTTAGGGGAAAAAAGTGATGCAGCTCAATTGACTGGATTTAGTAGCGGAGCCAGCATCTTGCTAAAGCAACTAATTATTTTGTCTGTCCAAGTGTATAGAATGCGAATACAAGGTGTCAGCATCGTGCGTTAGCGCGAGTACTGAGCGCTGTGGTGTAGAATATCACCGCAAATCTAATTTTGTATTGTATTGAACATAACCATGTGTTGGTCATGCGACCATAATCTCCTTAAAGCTTAGAACGCACCAGCTGAATGCGTGACAATCCTACCTTGCGCGATGCAGAACCGAATTGTATTAAATGACCTAATTCATTCGAGAATATTTAGCAGGACTAGACTTATTAGAATTCCAAGGACTGTCGTTTGCGATTGCAAGAAGGAATACAGAATAATTAACACGGGACAACATAACTTTCTTCACTTGGCAGTCGAAGACAAGTCGTCCGAATCATCGTGGGTGAAGCCGTCTAGAAATGACATTGTAAAACCATCTCTACCTTTCGAGAGAACCGTCACAGAGGAAAAACCTCAGGCGAGTATTCTCCACTTTTGAGTTTTTTTCTTAAGCGACGGGACCAGTGTTTTTCATTTCAAAGTACTCAACGGATCATGCGACAGGTTCATACAAAGTGGTGGTAAAGTAGAACGTGACTAACAATTGTGAAAAAGTACTACATTCTCACGCTTTACGGTAGATAAATCTGTTTTGTCACAATTGTAGCAGGAGATTCCGCTAGACGTTGATTACGCCTAATTATATGCTAACAAATCCGCACGCGGGGATTGTCGGAACCCTCGACATGATCCACACTCACCGCTGAAGTCATTTGTGAATACATCCTATTTTGGTCACCTGTTTCATTGTAGCTTGTCATGTAGAACTTTTCTGATTGTCATATGCAGCGCGGTCAGTGCCTGGTTATTCTGAGAATTAAAACACCACTGTTGCATTCGCTTTAAAAAAAATCTGTTTCATTTCAGTAGTGACTTACAATGTGCTACACTTGAAGACGTTTGCCTGAAGCCAGCTTTCTCTGAAGCGTGAAAGCATTTGAGAAGCAAGTGAGGGGTGATCCGCAAAGTCAACCATGTGCGAATTCGTAATATGTTCCGCACTTTCCAGATGGACGCTCACCAGCCGCACACTGAGAACAGACATTGCTGTGTCGCAGATGATGCGGAAATCCCGAAAGACTTGGGAGCGCCCGCCTTAACCACTCTCGGTTTGTCGAAGTCCCACTCACTGGGTGTAAATAGACAGTGGCGAACTGCCCGAAAGCATCTCCCAAAGGCCTAACGATGAAAAATCTTACATTCAAGAAGACCTAACTTGCAATATGGTTTGTTTCATTAAACGTTTATTTTAGAGCATTAGGTGGAAAACCCCTATCATTCAAGCAATCCATCTCAAAATGTACGTCATTGGCCAATGTATATTGTTACGTACTTATTAATGAGAGCATAACATACACACAGAACCATACTTTTAGTAGAACAATCTGGTGTAATGTCTTGGTTTTTACAATGTATACTGGACGTTCTCGTGTACCGGCCCAAATGCTTTAGTCAGTTCATTCGAAAGCTAAGGGGGCGATGATCGGTTAGCCAAATGAGACTGATGCTTAATTAAAAAATCGAAAACTAAGCATGGCAACAGCATGGGCTTGTCCAAGAGCTGATAATGACGTACTTAAAGCGGCTAGCCTTCAGAATTTGGGATTTTGAGCTCTATCTGAGTAAAAGTGTGGGAAACGCTTCTTCCATTCCAACTAGTTTCTCAACACGCCTGCGCACATTCATCAACAAATGCTTTTGAATGTTTCACTGGTCCTCAATCCGGACGGGATTTGCGCTGCAGATTATTGTTGTAAACTTCAGAGGAAAGAACGGAATGGAATTCGTCACGGGCAAAGAGCTACATGCAAATCAACTCTGCTGGAACGGGCGGAGTTCGGCAAGCGTCCTCGACAAAAATGAAGGTTTCGAAGTTTCCTCAATCATTTTGTTTTTTACAAACCATCCGACTAAGCCGTTTTCATTTGCCAAATAGATATGGACACTCAATTCTCAGAAGTGGACACTTCTGGTGGTTGTAGTCAGTCCCTTATCACTGTTTCAATCCAGAAGGCCTATATACTAACCCGCAAAGCAGTCTGAGGAGACAGAATATTTAAATGCCTGAGATATAACAGTTCGCAGGACGGCCAATATTTCACCCCATTCACACTCACTGACCATGATCACAAATTCTTACACGACTACAGCTCCAAAGTTAACCGTGAACAGCAATGCCGTGTTGCATGAGGGAACCAGCAACTAAATGGCATTGTAATTTAGTTTGAAAATCTCTACAGCAGGCTGGTAAACTTGCTTTGCATCAAGTGATTCACAGTACCGGACATTTGCGCTGTTGACACATGTAATTTCCGCCCGATTATATTGCAATCAGCCATGCTCTTGCCAAGCAACTTGATTGTAACTAGACCGAAGGACAAATGCGACTACACGGAAAACTGTTGTGAACGGTGTGCCGAAATTTACTGCGGAGCGGATAAAGATAACGGCACAAACGTTGAGTCACATGTATGAAAACACCTTAAAGTTCGGGTAAACGAAGCTCCTTGAATGAGGCTTCCTGTAGTGTACCGGATCCCAGAGCAGCGAATTCTACTTGGTGTTGTGGTCAGCCATGTTTGTATAAGCCGGACGTCACCGTTCAATTGACCTATGAAATGAGCATTACCTTTGTAGGAAGGAAGCGTTCATTGTGGAGCAAAAGTGCGGATCATTTAAAGTTTACTGAGGATCTTTCCCGTACGGCATACTTTGAACTGAATTTTTAACCAAAGTCAGTGTTTGCAAAAACAGTCGCCCTAGAAGGGGAGTGTTGTGCAACATTTTAGCTATTACCAATTTGAATAACCGCAAAAGTCACGATAAACTGTTCCATATACTCACATATTGCGTTGCACACAAATGAAATTGAAAAAGTTGATATGCGGGTATTGTCAAAAACATGCCAGTGGCAAGCAAGCGCAGTGA